ACACACGCACGCATGCAGCCGCCTCTCGCTTCCCTTTTCGGCAAGGTGGCAGCGGCGTGACCTCCGCTCGTGGCCTGTGTGCTGCCTGAGGCCAGCCCAGCCCCCCACACCTCCCCCCGAAACCCCGGGGGGCTCTGGCAGCCCGACTCGCCATCGCGGCCGGGACGTGATGGGAGTCCCGAGGGGTGACAACCACCGCGGGGACAGGGCTGGGCTGTCCCCGGGGACCCGCTCCTCTTTTACATGTCTCCTGCTGCTGCTGTGGGGGTTCTGGTTCAGCGAAAGTTTCTCAAGCGAAGACTTTGCTGCTCACGGGGAGAAACCCGCCCCAGCCCCCGGTGGGAAATGCAGCCTCGGGGCAGGGGACGGGATGGGACGGGACATCCCGGGCGCTGGGAGCCCAACCAGGACGTTTCCAAGCCGACAGGGACCCTCTCCCTTCGATTTAAAACCAGGCAAACCCTCCTCGGGAGGAGCAGCCACCCCAGCTTGGCCCCGCGGCGGGGACCAAAGGCTCATCCTTATCCCGGGCGCGCGGGGCTCCGTGCAGGCAGCCAGCGCAGCTGGTGTTATTTACCCAACAGCAGGCAGCAGCGGGCAGCATCCGGCTCCTTCCTTTATTTATTGCACCTGGTTCCCAGGGGGAAAACCAAGGGCTTGGGCAGCGGGGACCAACCCCCGGGGGCTTTGGGCACCGGCACCAAACCCTTGGGGCGGCAGGAGGGAGAGATTCCCCCTGACCCCGACGCGTAGCCGGGTCACGCCGGCTGGGGCTCGGCGACATCCCCGCCGTGTCCCCGTGGTGTCCTTGCATCACCACCCCCCTTGGAAGGTGCGTTGCTCTATGTGGGTAGATTTGCATGTTCACTCCCTCCAAGCCGGTAAGTAGAGCTGTGAGATCAAGGCTTCGAGCTCGCCGCGTCGGAGCGATGGGGATGTCACCCGGCCGCCCACGTCCCCGCATTCCCTGGCTGCTGGCCCCGCTCCTCATGGTGGCAGGTAGGCAGAAGGGGAGGTCAGCAGCCGTGCTGGGAGGGGACCACGGCTGTTCCAATGCTTGAGACCCCCCCATTTATTAGCCACCCCCATTTCTTGGTGGTGGGAGAGAGCTGGGGAACGCGGCTTTGGGTCCCAGTTTGCAGAACGAACGCTAGCCCCGGGGGGTTTAGAAAATACATCGGGTATTAGGGGTGAGAACAGGATTTGCCTCTGCGAGGGAGCTGGGGACGATGCACCGGGGCACCGGCGGGGCCCTGCTGGGCGGGGGGGGGGGGGGG